CCCCTCACACTGGATACCAGACTGGGAGACCGAAGGACTGACCTTGATAATCTGGGTGCAACAGACAGGACGTGACGTGACTCTGGATGAACTGCTGAGACGTGACGAGGCTCTGTCAGATCAGCTGAGATGTGACAAGACTCTGGAAGATCAGTTGAGACTGGCCTGGACTCATGACGAGCAGCTGTGACTTGACTTGACTCATGAAGACCAAGACAAGTACTTTTACTCTACTCACACTACATTGTTTGGAAGGTAATGGTGCTTTTACTTGAGAATATTTTTTCAGTACTCTTTCCACCACTGTCAAAGTGAGAGGGGCACGTGCCAAGATAATATTTTTTATATTTCATACAATCACACCGGCGTGATTAGACGGTGCAGTGAGGCACAGCATCAGCTGCTAAATTCAAATCTGCGTTCGTTCGCTGGTTGGCGCTGAGCCAGAGAAAGACGTGTTTTTACAGTGCTGCACATTATAACCAATCACACACGATTCTGTTGAGTTTATAAATGCAATGGCCAATCAGAGGCGTTCAGATGAGTCATCGCTGAAATGCCGGTGTTTTGTTCACTCGCTCGCTAGGAATTCTGCTCTCTGACAATTCTCTCATCAGAAACAACGAAGTGCAGATGTGCGTACGATGTGAGTAGGATATTCATTTCACAGTTTAAACATCTTCAATGATTATAATGAGAGTTTTTGAGAGTGCTTAAAATGTTCTTTGATAATGTAAAGGTTCTTTGCTTTCTTTCTGTACAATGAAAGTGTTATAATTAGTAAATTACAATGTTTTTATTAAATTCACATTAAATACAAAGTCAGTCATATTAAAATCATTTTATGGTATGTCACCCATATCTGGTACTTAAGTAAAAAGACGGGTTTTTATGCGTAATTAATACACTATTAAGGTTACTTAGCCCATCGGCCATTATAGATCAATGAACATAAAGGTGCAAAATGCATTTACTTAAACATATTTGAGAATCAAGATATTTCATGATATAGGGTTAGGGTTTGGAACAAACACGTTTGGGAATATTTCGAATAAAAAGGAATATTTAAATAATTAATAATCAGTTATATAGACCCCCCCCCCACTCCCCACTCGTGCCCCCTCAAAAAAAATTAGTGTATGATTCCCCTGCAACAGAGCGTAATCCATAAAATCACTTAGAGAAGAACGGGGACCCTCACGGATTAATCGTGTCTTTAAAGGTTCATTGATAACCTCACAAAAAAAGTCTATAAGCACACAGTCCGGCAGATCAGAACAATATGCGAGATCTAAATACTCTTGTACATAATCCTCGAGTTATCGCAAGCCCTGCTCGAGGGTTAATAACAGTCTTGCAGTGTCCATACCTGGCCAATGTCGACATGAAAAGCTGCTGGATCCTTGTGTGGCCGAGTATTCTGTAACGGAACGACTGACACGAGAGACGTGCGACACCAGCAAACAGATATAGACAAGGCAAGACTAAAGAGTATTCCATATACAGGCATATATAATGACAGCAAACATAATCCAGAGGGCGAGGCAAACGGGTAATCCAAAAACATGCAATAATCTAGGCAAGGGGCAAACAGAGTCCAAACGACAAAACAAGAGAGAAATCCAAGACAGGTAGGTGATCAAGAAACAGACAATCAGGCAAACACGTAGTGGCTAAACTCAGACTAGAACTCGGAACATGAAACTAGGATCGAGAACTGGCTCCGTAAAGTTGCTAAGGCAAGACAATGATACACACAAACAATTCTCGGCAGTGAGGAAGTCCATGGCTTATGTAGGGTGTTTGATTGGTTGTAGCTGTGTGTGTAATCAGTGCAATGGATGATGGGAAATGTAGTCCGGGGTGACATGCAACAGTTTGTGTAGTGTGAGAGTCAATGTAACAGGAAGGCAACATCTAGTGGCGAGCAAACGGAAAACCACGGACCAGATTGTGACAGTATCTGGAGATATTGTCCTGGGAAATGTAGTCCGGGGTGACATGCAACAGTTTGTGTAGTGTGAGAGTCAATGTAACTGGAAGGCAACATCTAGTGGCGAGCAAACGGAAAACCACGGACCAGATTGTGACAGTATCTGGAGATATTGTCTGACAGGAGTTCCGCTCTGACTCTGCTGGGGCGCAGGCCATCAGCGCGAAAAAGCCTAGGTTGCTCCCAGAAAAGATTCCAATTATTAACAAAGAGCAGTTTCTGTTCTTTATACACCATGACAACCATTCATTTAAAGCAAAAAGTCTACTGAACCTTTCGTGTCCTCGTCGATACGTAGGAAGCGGTCCTGACACGATGATCGTCGTTGCGGGTGATGTGCTGCGCACCGTCTTGATCAGGCTCCTGAAGTCCCTCTTCAGTGTCTCCGTCTGCCGCAGCTTGGTGTCGTTAACCCCCGCATGAAGCACGACCGCTCCGGGGCTCTCGTCGCCCTTCAGGATCACGGGTATCTGCGCAGAAACATCGAGAACAAATCCCCCGCATGAAGCACGACCGCTCCGGGGCTCTCGTCGCCCTTCAAGATCACGGGTATCTGCGCAGAAACATCGAGAACAAATGCACCAGGGAAACAGTGAGGACATCTGGGAAGATCGCGTCCTGGGTGCACGGGGCCTGTGCAGAGAAACACACAGAGTAGAGGTGCTGGGAGAGTTAGCTGCACACTGTATACTTACCCCGGACTTGTGAGCGTCAGCCCGGGATGTTCTCTCCGCTCCCTCAGCGGGGCCTGCTTCTCCACCAGGTTGCTTCTCCACGGCCTCCAGCTCGAGCTCTGCACCGAATGCAGCTCGAACCTGTCCTCACCTGCACTCAAAGGTAGGCACACATCCGCCATTAAAGCAAGTAACAGTGAGTACAACAATGGTAATGTGTGTGAATAGAGTATTAGCAATGTAAGCAAGATTAGCGGCAACCACAATGCTAATGGGCTATAAGCTAATAGCAGACCCGGGAATCAAAATAAAACAAAAAAAATTAAATCAAAATATCCGCCATTAAAGCAAGTAACAGTGAGTACAACAATGGTAATGTGTGTGAATAGAGTATTAGCAATGTAAGCAAGATTAGCGGCAACCACGATGCTAATGGGCTATAAGCTAATAGCGGACCCGGGAATCAAAATAAAACAAAACAAAATAAAATCAAAATAAAGGCGCTGATTGTTTTTGTTGTAGAATACGATAGGGGATATATTCACACGTTATAGAAACGAAAATGATGGTGTATAAAATTGATTTTAAGATAAAAAATAGACGATAAAGAATTAACTTGACGGAGCTCACACTCAAAACACACGGCAGCAACAAACAGGAAGTGACGTCTTTTTAATGGATTTGAATATTAGAAATGTGTTAGTGTGTTATGTGTAAACCAGGTTAAAGAGATGGGTCTAGATTAATCTAGATTTAAACTGACAGCGTGTGCCTGCCTCCCGAAAAATGTTAGCTAGATTATTCCAGAGTTTGGGCGCTAAATAGGAAAAGGATCTGCCGCCCGCAGTTGATTTTGATATTCTAGGTATTATCAAATGGCCAGAGTTTTGAGAACGCAGCGGACGTGTAGGACTATAATGCAATATGAGCTCGTTCAAATACTGAGGCACTAAACCATTCTAAGTGGAAAAATAGACTATACTAGCGAGCAATTGTGTTGTATAAAAACATTTCTCCTGCTCATCGGAACACACGCAAATGCTGAAAGATAAAACCAATCAATCACAGACAGCGTTCTGCTGATGCATGGCGCACAGTGCTTGTTTAAATAGGGCTGCGTTTCCTAAAAGCATCAGAAGCAAAAGTGGATCTTAAGAAACTATTGCCACATTATTACATTAGCCTACATAACATTGTTAGTATATATAAAATTAATTCTGAAAAATGCATCACGGTTTCCACACAAATATGAAGCAGCAATAGCCCAATAATCAGAAATGCTTCTTGAGCAGCAAATGATAGGCTATTATACTGATTTCTGAAGATCATGTGACACTGAAGACTGGAGGAATGATGCTGAAAATACAGCTGCGCATCACAGATGAAACTACATGTAAAAATATATTAAAATAGAAAATAGTTATTTTAATGGTTATATTTCACAATATTGCTGTTTTACTCTATTTTTGTTCAAATAAGTGCGGCCTTGGTGTCGAGTGAGGTGGTTCTAAGTGGAAAAATAGACTATACTAGCGAGCAATTGTGTTGTATAAAAACATTTCTCCTGCTCATCGGAACACACGCAAATGCTGAAAGATAAAACCAATCAATCACAGACAGCGTTCTGCTGATGCATGGCGCACAGTGCTTGTTTAAATAGGGCTGCGTTTCCTAAAAGCATCAGAAGCAAAAGTGGATCTTAAGAAACTATTGCCACATTATTACATTAGCCTACATAACATTGTTAGTATATATAAAATTAATTCTGAAAAATGCATCACGGTTTCCACACAAATATGAAGCAGCAATAGCCCAATAATCAGAAATGCTTCTTGAGCAGCAAATGATAGGCTATTATACTGATTTCTGAAGATCATGTGACACTGAAGACTGGAGGAATGATGCTGAAAATACAGCTGCGCATCACAGATGAAACTACATGTAAAAATATATTAAAATAGAAAATAGTTATTTTAATGGTTATATTTCACAATATTGCTGTTTTACTCTATTTTTGTTCAAATAAGTGCGGCCTTGGTGTCGAGTGAGGTGGGTTTGCTCGAAATATTGGCCGTCCTGCTGGAGTGGATTTAGGAGTGAGGTTGGATGATTGCAGAGACACAAATAATTAGATCGTACAGTGTGTTACAGTTTAGTTATTGACTATTTTTCATAATGAAAAATCATAAAAAATGTGCAAAAGCAATTACTTTCAAAATAAGTGTTGTAGATAAAGCAGCAGGAGAGCAGCGACGTGTGAACTGAATTCGGTGACACTAGAGCGTGTTACTGTATAGTTATTGAGTATTTTATCAGCAACATTTGTTGCGGTTCGCACTTTGCAGACGGTCCCTGCGGACTTGTCTCTCAGACGCCAGCGCATTGAGATCAATGTATTTTGTACAGAGCGGAGGAAAGCTTGTTTTGAGGAAAACTCGCTTGTAGCTCGTTTTCTACATCACTGCGAAAGAAAAGAGGCGTCAATTTTGTAGTAAAACATTTTGCTCGTGAGTTATTGATCCAGAAGCCAGAAGTCGAGTCTGTGAATATCTTGCTAGCTTTACCGAGCTCCGAATCAAAGAGTAAACACGGTGCAAATAAGAGATGTGTCGTGGCGTGCAGAAACCCTCTTTGACTGCAACGGGAGCTTTAGCAAGAGTGCAGAACTCATTACAGAAGTAACGACAGCTCCATGCATTGTGTTCGGAAGGCTCTTCGCTTGGTTTGTTTCGCCAGAACAGCATTCTGCATTCACATGCTTGCAGCAGTGTCGGCGCACTAAATGACACGCTTCGTGTCTTCGTGTTGTTTCTGCAGGCAGAGGTGAGTAGTGCATATTAGGGACAGTTTGTGCCTACATGTCATTGTTAACAGAGCAACCTTCATTACATGGGAAACCGAAAGTGCTTCACTTCATACTTTTACTTTCACTTTTAAAGCTCACTCACTCACATGTCTGAATGCATGCAATTGTGTAACTGTGAGTTCATCTCAAATCTAATGTCTTTATCGCGTAAACAGAGGTCTTGGTGTGTTAGGACTGCCGTTTGTATGTGACTGACTGGTGTGATGTTGCAGATTGATGGAAGACGGGTCGAGGCACATGCGACTGAGAGAATGGCTGATAGCACAGATAGACAGCGGGGAATACGCTGGACTGAGCTGGGAAAATGAGGAGAAAACCATGTTCAGGATTCCCTGGAAACACGCAGCCAAACAGGACTACAGACAGAACCAGGACGCCGCACTGTTTAAGGTGAACACACTGTACAGTTTTACCATGAAACCCACTTTCAGCTGAGGCTTTACAGATCTGTCCGAACGGACCACACTGATATTAGTGTACTGCTTGACTGATGGTGATTATATCTGCTCGTAGCTTTTCATTTCTATCATTCCAACTATATTTAATTGAAGTCCAGCGGACTAAAAAGGTACACAACTTGCAGAAAATACAGCTGCTATACACCGATACATTTAGACAGAAAGCAGATTAAACACACACTCTGTCTCAGGCATGGGCCATGTACAAGGGTAAGTTTCAAGAGGGCAGGGACAAAGCAGACCCCTCTACGTGGAAAACGCGTCTGCGCTGTGCCCTCAACAAGAGCACAGACTTCCAGGAGGTTCCTGAGCGCAGCCAGCTGGATATCTCTGAGCCGTACAAGGTCTACCGGATCCTGGACGACACAGGGAGAGCTGCAGGTATTATGACCGCTCTAGACTCGTGTTCCTCAAACCTCCGCCACCCACATCTCACTTCCTCATTAATATAAATATATCCACTCAGACACAGTCATACTCAAAACCAGCTACCCCTTGTGTCTTCCAGACCCTGCTGGAATATCACTGGACAGTGACTGCAGCAAAGCCTTGAGAGACACACATCTGCCCATGCAGGTACTGTTCAGTGACAACTCCTGTGGAAATCCCCACACGCACCACACTGACTGCAAACTCGGATGACATTTATTGTTCTGCCCCCTACTGGACCGATTGCGTATGAAAATAATAGTTTATTTTCACCTCCAGCAGGACAGTTCGCTTGGTGACTCAAACAAAGCTGCTGGATGGAGTGGTTAGTGTTTTACTGTCAATAACAATGACTTACTAAAAAGAGACAAACAAAGAGTTACATTGAGTGTATGTGTGTGTTTGCAGTGAATGGCAGGGCGTATGCGTGTCCCAGCACAGGCACTAACTCCATTCCTCTATACCCGTCTCAGGTCCCCATAACTGGTGAGCTCGTCCTCTAATGTTCCTCGTTTTATGAAGTACCAACTTGAAACTAGATGTCATTGTGATTTTAAAGATCGAATTACTCACTGGGAGGAATACGATGTATAACATTAGGTGTACGCTGAAAACTGAAGCCAGTGTTAAAAAAGCGATGCTGTTTTTTCGTGTGCATGCATGCAGACTGCCGCCTGGAGGTGCGCTTGTTCTATCACGGTAACCTGGTGCAGAATCTCGTCACTACGTCTCCAGACGGCTGCTTCATTCTGCAGGGCTGCGCTCCGGTGGGGAACGAGCGCATCTACGGGCCTTGTGAAGCCAAGAAGGTCTTCTTCCCCTGTCCAGACATTATAAACCTGCCCCCGGGCATCTCCGAAGCCATGACCCGTCTTCTGCCGCACCTGGAGAAAGGTGTGCTGGTGTGGGTGGCCCCAGACGGTGTGTTCATCAAGCGCTTCTGCCAGGGCCGCGTGTACTGGGACGGCCCTCTGGCAGAGCACAGACAGAAACCGAACAAACTGGAGAGAGAGAGGACCTGCAAACTCCTGGACATGACCATCTTCTTGCAAGGTGAAGGAGGGAGGGGGCTTAGCCTGGGGAAACCAGTGCTTTTTGCATTTCGCTGATCCTTCAGTCCTCACGCTGTTTCCTGTGTTCTTGGCAGAGTTACAAAACCACCGGCAGGGCACTGGTCCCGAGCCACAGTACACAGTGGACCTGTGCTTCGGAGAGGAGTTCCCTGACCCCAGCCAGCCAAAGACCAAGAAGCTCATCACTGCACAAGTGAGTGTTCGGTAGCATTGGAGCCTTGCGCTTGTATACTGGAGATGTACTGAGCGTTCAGACAGTAAGCCTGTGCTGCCCTTCACAAGCATCTGTACTGAAACCTGTACAAACGATTTTGCCTAGTTTAGTTTATTTGACAAATACAAAACTTCACAACTTGTTTGTCAACGGTAGCACAAGAAAAGACTGAAAATGAACAGCTATGGCAGCAAAACATTAACACAAATTAACTTATTTAACCCTTTGTGGACTTTCATAAAAAGTTCAAAAGAACAGCATTTCCTTGGAATATAAATCTTTTGTAATATTATAAATGTCACTTATGATTAATTCAATTCATATTCATTTATTTTCTAGCTACCTAACTTCTTTTCTTGACCTGCAGTGTATCATTTGTAAAATATACGCTGATGTCTAAAGAAGAGTCTATAATAATCCCTTTAAAACTTTGATTTTGATGACATGATCATTGCGCATTTTGTAGGCGACTATAAAGTTCACTCTGTTTTTTTTCCTGCCTGGGCGATAAAACGATATCAGTATTTATTGACGGTACACCTTCATCGATAACAATAGAAAAAATTTTCAGTATAGCACACGATATAGGCACGTGCTATCAGTGAATGGAATAAAAAACCCACAAATTCTTGAGACAAAACTTGAAGCTCTTTTAACTTTACATGGCTTTCTATTCATCTTTTGTGTGAGACGCAAGTGCAAGTTAGTTGTCCGTCTCGAAAATGCGTTCTGTGTGAATGGCTTGGTTACGGTTTTATCCTAACCAAGATCTCGGTATTGAGCGTCTATATTTCTCTAGTATGCTGAATGAAAATCGCAGCAGCAGCAGAGCATCTCGTGGGTTCAGCTTGGCAGGCTAACACAAACGCTAAAGTACAACGCTAAACGACACTTACATCATCATTATTATAAACTTGACTAATATTAATTTCTTTCATTCACGATCTCTTAAACGCAGACAGGCACAGCACTCATTTTAACATGTGCTTGTGTGTTCGGCGCTTTGGATTTTTGTATTAAGCTATGCATAAATACATGATGCTGTTTTGTTCATAATTGCTTATGCAATTTACGAAATGATACACTTTTTTTATAGATAGCCATTGTTTCATTGCATTGAATAAACAATTGAATGCGGTACATAATGTTGCTCATTGTGCCCTCCTGTGGCTTCAGGAGACAAGTCAAAAAGTTTCCTTAACACTAATCTGCATATAAAATAATAAAAAAATACAGTGGTTAAATGTTTTTTTTCTTCTGCTCTTTGTTTAAAAAAAGTAATAAATTGTTTTCAATAATTACTGATACGAAACATAATATTGTGTTGCATTTTTTAGCTATATCGCCCAGCCCTACCAGTTATGTGCTTTCATGTCTTTCGGGAGAAGTGAAGGAATTCATGGGTTGTCAATCTGACTCTGATTCTCTGCATTGCAGCGCAAACTAACACAGCAGCACCTATTACCCATTAGAGAACAACTGACGCGGTCTTTATTAAGCAGTTTAAACAACAGCATGCATTTACTTTAATACACATATTTGAGAATAGGATTATCAGATATTTCACAATATAGTGGCTGTCCATTTGCTTCAGGCTTTTTCCTAATGTAGTGTGTCACATAAAGCAAATAAAAATCACTCGTCCTGTTCTGGCCGAAAGTCTTTGACAGGTTTTTGATTGCTTACATATCCTAAGCATAAATTATTATATAAAACGACTGTATCTCTTCACAAGGTCTGGATTAACCTGCTTGACTTACATGGATTTGCCACCTTTATATGATTTCTTCTTCTTAAGAAAGTTACGTTTTTATACGTTTTGGTTAAGTGTTGGTTAACCGGACATAAACATCTCAGATTTCATTAAAAACATTAAAGCCACTTGCCTAATATCGCGCAGGTCCCCCTCATGCTGTCAGATCCGCTCGGATGCATTGAGCCCTGGACTTTTCTGAACGTGTCCTGTGTATCTGGCATTAAGACATTAACAGCCTGCAAGTTGTGCGGTGGGGCCGCCGTGGATCGCATTTATTGGTCCAGCACATCCCATATATCAGTGCCGATCTTAGACTTCTGGGGGCCCTAAGCTACACTTTGTCAGAAGGCCCCATGCGTTCATAAAAACCCCCAACCCCTTATTCTGTTGTTTCAGAGCAGTTTCACTGTCAACAAACAACAGTGAGTTGTTTGACTAAAAATAATAGCCTACTACACAGAAACTGAATAAAGTCATCATATGTAAAAATCGAACACTGCTTAGTCTTCACCGTATGAATTAAATGTACATTGATTCTTACCAAAGTCACTGAGTGAAGAGCAGTGGTTCTCTCGTTGTCTTTTGTTTGATTAACACTGACAGGTCTAATAAACGGACAAGCATTCGATTATTTTCCACACTGTTTACGTTCACTTAAAGGGATAGTTCACTCAAAAATGAAAATCCTGTTATCACAACGCCGAAGATAAACAAAGGTCTTACAGGTTTTGAAAGACATGAGGGTGAGTAATAAATGACAGAATTTTCATTTTTGGGTGAACTTTCCCTTTAAGACATAACTGAGTTGAAGTGAACCCCTCAAGACATAAAGACGGATATTTTGGCATAAATTTGTGTGTTTGTCCTTGGAAACAGTGTCTCTTTCGCAGCTTAAAATGCTTTCGAGCACAGAAGACCGTATACTATGACGGCCATGTTACTTGATTAGACTGATTTGGATGATACGTAGGAAGGGTGAGAGCGCGCTGCTTTAAAGGAATGGAAAGGAATGCGGCATTGTGCTTTCATAATTGTTGGAAGCCAAAATCAAAAATGAAATGCACAGCACAGCACTAAATTCATCTGTGAAAGCAAGGAGGCCCCCTGGTGGTACGCAACCTGCGTGCTTTGCCTATAGGGAGGACCGGCACTGCCATAGATGCTCAGTTGGGTTAAGATCTGGGGAATCTGGAGGCTCTTTGTCATGTTCCTCAAACCATTCGTGAACAGTTTTTTCAGTGTGACAGGGTGCATTATCCTGCTGAAAAAGGTCACTGCCTTCATTTGTGTTATAGAAGCTCTTCTGTGCGATCAGACCAGACGGACTAGCCTTTGCTGCCCATATGAGCATCCATGAGATTTGTTCTCCCATAACCCTGACGGCGATTCCCCTGTTGTCCTTCCCTGAACTGACTGTTCACTTGCTGGCTAATGTATCCCACCCCTTGACAGGTGCCACTGTAATGATATAATCAGTGTTATACCCCAGGGCTGTTCAATGTTTGATTCCGATGGTTAACAAATATTCTAAAGCATGCAATTACTTTTACGGAAATCCGGCCAGCAGTGGAATTTTTTGAAGTGCGTTATAGTTCATGTTTATCATTAGATAATAGACAGTTATACTATAATTGAAACTATACTATAATTGCAGTTAGAGAACATGAGAAACACCTTAATGAAGACCACAACCAGATGCTAGTTGTCATATATTTAAGATCTTTCTATCCCTGTAGGTTCGCTGAATGCAATTGGTTGCCTTGTGCTTTTTAAATGTTTTTTACTGGCTTGAATTCCATATCTGCTGCCCTTTTTAATATTCACGTAATGTTGTATGCTTTTATAAAAATAAAATGAGGCTGGGATGTCAGTAATTAACCTTTTAAAAGTAACATTTAAAAAATCTAAACGTATAAAAATCGAGTGTTTGACAATGTCTAAATGTACGTTAAAATGCAAAACCTAAAAAAGTAAGCAATTATAACCAGTGATAATCTTTTGAGCAACTATACATGTATACTTATTAAACATTACATAGGAATATTATCTTTCTGGCCACCAAATGCCTCTAATTTGCCTCTTTGCTCTTTAATTCAAAACTGTTTTCTCTATTTTAACCATAAATACTACACTAATTGTAATATATATATATATATATATATATATATATATATATATATAATAAACATATTAGAAAAAATACCAAAAATCTACTCAAAATATAGAACTGAAGTAAAATATTGTACTTATTATTATTGAATTGATTAAAAGTTACACTTAAGGTGTTCGGCAACATTTGACTGCCCAGGAGTATGAGAACATTAATGCTGTCTCTTTTTCAGTCCTCAGAATAAAATGTGATTGTAAAGCGTAGTCAGCGTAGCTATCAAAGCACAATAAATGCACATTATGTGTTAATAATTACTAGAAAAGTCTGCAAATACAGTGAGACTGCTGTCTGTCCTGATTAAACCCCTTCAATCATATTATCAGCGCGGAGTTGTTTGGAACTACTGAGAGTTCCTGTATTATGCCATCATATCTTATACTGGGTCATGGTCCTAATTATGAGAGATTATCTCATTATAACACACGACACTTGGAAAAAAAATATATATATATACATTTTGCTAACTCTAAGTAACTTTGCAACTACATGTCAACTAACTCTTATTAGAGTATTAGTAGGTCAGTGTTAGTAATATAAACTGGTCACTTTATTTTAAGGTCCAATTCTCACTATTAACAAGCATTCAACTACGCCTTTTACCTCAGTAAACTCCTAATTTGCTGCTTATTAATAGTTAGTAAGGTAGTTGCTGAGTTTAGGAATTGTGTAGGATTCGGGATGCAGAATATGGTCATGCACAATAAGTGCTTTATTAGCTCTAATAAATAGCCAATGTTAATAATAGGCATTCTAATAAGTCTAACTAGTTAATAGTGAGAATCAGTCCCTGTAATAAAGTGTTACCAATAAGTTGGCATGCACTTACAAAGTTACGTACAGTCAGTAGAACGTCTGTTGGGGAAATAAAGTGAAATAAAGTGTTAGCAGATATTAAGCTGACAGTCTAATAATACTCTTAAATAGTTGTAGTTGACATCTAGTTGTAGAATACCTAAAGTGGACTATCAAAATCAAGTTTTACCATATATATGTATATTCAATTCAAAACTATTTAACTTACAGTTATTCACATATTCAAATATGCCTTTTTTTGTTAGTTTTTTTGCTTATGCATTTGCCTATACATTTTTTTCTTCTATTTTATTTATTATGAAACAAAATATTATAAAATGTAAACAAATATATGCTAAAGTATGCTAAAATTGAACCCCTTCCAAACCATGATCAAAAAAACTGATTGATTGATAGCATTTTGCATTTTGTTCCAGCCCCAGAAGTATTTCGATTCAGAGATTTTTTACTGGTAAAACTACCAGTAGAGGGCATTGTGGAATAATCACACAGCAAATAAATCTTTTCTTTCTTTCTCTCACTCTATCTCTGTGTGTAGGTGATTCCTCTGTTTGCTGTAGAGTGTCTCCGCAGGCATAATGCACCTAATAATGTGGAGAGGAAGCAATCACCGCCACACAGGAAAACCAATGAATAAACATACCTTAATCAGAACAGCACACGTTTCACCATCCCTGTGTAGGAATTCACCAGCAATGACATGAGTAAATTACAATTATAATAATAAAATATTAATAATACAAATGGAAGTGTCTGTATCTAACGTCAGTAGACTAACTTTTTCATTGATTGTATTCAGCTTTATGTCCTTTGTAGTCTTACTAATATTACTAACCATGATACTGATTCAATTAGATTATGATTTCTTTATCCTTTTGTAAAAGTTTGCTTCAAAAATGTAATTAAAATAAAGAGTTTGGTTAGTCTTCTGTATCACCTGGTTATTTCAGAAGTACAATATGACTCATGGTAGACAAATCAGCTTGTACTGAAGAGAACTCATGTCACACCGAATGCAGCCGCTACACACAGCAGTGTTTAAATGCAGTGAACTCATAAGAGTGAAGAGCGATCTGATCCTTCAGACCCTTCAGAGACGGGGTCAGAGGAAGGGACGGCAAATCAAAAATTAGGAATCTTTGTTTCAGCCTTTAAATGATGAATAAATCAAATGTAAAACGTCCTGCCCAAGGTTGTCCCGATGACTGGCCCATCCCAAATATATTTGAGCAGATTACTTATGAAGCCGTGGATTAATTCTGTCATTGTATGTTTTTAAAAACAAATCCAAGTGCATTGTATTTAAAAGAGAGTAATGCTGATATTCACTGTGGCATGATTTCTGCACATCCTCAATGCAAGCCAGCGTTACGAGCTTAAATTACATTTAACATTGCCCAGGTGTAAGGACTGCATGAATTTTTCCATACGCGTGACATGTTGCCAGACTGCTTATAGGCCACGTTCACACAGCAGCAGAGTCCGCTTGTCAGTCCTGCATCTGGGTCATTCGAACAGTTGCGTTCACACACGTTGCGCTTGTTTACGAGGGTGAGGACCAAGTAAATGATAACTGTGGCTTCAGTAACTCACAGAGACGCAGATATGAGCTGTGCGTCATCTGAAGGTTTGGATCCAGTCGCTGTTCTCCACCGGACTCTTTACTGAGATAGAAAAGCTGCCATTTATTCAAGATTCAACAGATGAAATGGCACCACAATTGAATTGAATTTTATGTTGTATCAAATGCGAGACGACAAATGTATTTTTGCACATCGCCATCGTTGATATTTACTTAGCCACCTTCGCTGTGGTTACAGGTAATAGACACACACAGAATACACAATGATACAGACAGTGTTCTACTCTGGTAAGCTGCTGTGTGAACAGGACATTGCACACTAACAGTGTGAACGTAGCCATAGTAACATCTCAAGGTTTGGTATTTCATACATCAGAATATTGCGGCAATATCGTTCTCATTTGTCGTCTCATTAAGATGCTAAATATAGAATTCGATATAAATCTAGAAAGCTGTTCTTTTATTTCTAGCGAACATTGTATTACAGTCTCACAACTTTAAAAATATACATTTTTAGAGCACTTAGAACATTTATAAAGAAACAAAAAACTAACAGCGAACGTTATTTGAGAAACCACAAAAAAGAGAGAAAAATAAAGTGATAGAGTGTGCTTAATCATGAGTAGATATACCCGTATCTGATTTCAAAACACTAGATTTCTGTCCTTTTTCACAAGGAAATGTCACAATCACCAGAGGACTTTTCTGATGTGTCATTAGCACCATCACTCACCAGGCCCAGGGTCGCGTGTGCTTTCATTCCCACATTAGTGTCTCTTCCCTTGGTACGAACAGGCTGGAGCGTAATGCTAAAGTGAACTAGCATACTGACCCCACACTGAAAGCCTGGCTGAAGGCTGCTTAATACATTCAGCTTGCCTGCTAGACTGAAGGTACGTACGCAGTTCATAAGCGTGAAACGAGACGTCATTACAGATTTAACAGTAGACTATTTCCTGTAGCATATTCACAGAACACTCGTAATATGATATATTCTCATATATTTGTGTACTTTGCCTTTTTCTTCCAGTAGTATTGGTTTGTTATAATACGGATTAAAAAGACATACCCTGCAGAAAAAGGCTTGACATTAGCATAACTAAAAGGTGCGTGGCATCACAAAGACGTGATTTTTGATTGTCTCACTGTGCATTTTGGAACTGGTTAGCATGTGTTGTTCTACATTCTGAAATCACATTTAACAGTGGAGGAAAGAAGGGGAACAATTTACTAGCTATTCCATGGTATCTGTGAGGTTACCAATAATCAGACTCTAGACCTTCCTGTGGTGTCGATCCGAAGCCTTACTGCTGTCTCTCGTGCTTAGAGCCTTGAGGTAAATGGGTGCTAGTCTTGATTCCTGGCTGGAGCTCAGGGGCGGACCAGCGTCTCTTGCGGGCATGGGGCCGCTCGCTTAGCAAACTGGAAGGAGAAGGCTGGACCGCTGGCGGAGACGGAGGCGTGGGGGCATGGGGCATTCTCTCCGCCAGCTCCACCGCGTCCTCTGAGCGTATGTGCGGACGCTGCACCTGACTGCCGGAGTGAGGTGAAGCAGGTGTGGGAGTCAGTGCCAGACACACGTCGCCTATGCTGAGCTGACGGCACTGCAGGCCATACAGCTGGGCGCTCCGCTGGGGACTGCAAGAAGACCAGCCGCGGTCCCGGACGAAAAACGGATACTCCGCTAAGACTGTGAGCAGCTCCTGCCGGAACAAGAACGTACATTTCGGTAAGGTTGCAAAGCCACCCATAATGACATTTCACACAGAAGGATTCACACTCGGAGAGAGAAATACATTAAGATTTTATATGTGCACTGTATTTGAAAAACACTTCAAGTGGCAGTACTTATCAACACACAGTTAGCTCAATAATCCTTTGTCAGAAAACAGAATTTGTTCACAATGAATTTCTTTTTGAGCTATCAACGCTATGTAGTTTTATGACAGCCAAAACTCTCTGACAAAACAACATTGTTGTGTTTTCTTATTGTTAAAAATACTTTATTTTGTTGCAAACTCCAAATATAGCTCAAGCCAAAATGAATGTGGTAATATGTTGAAGAGTAGAGGCTGTCAGTTCATAAAGTGACCTTCCCGATTCCTATCCTCAAATTGATATCTATTATAAAAAGCCAACAGATTCTCACTCACAATGCATCTAATAATTAAAAATCATGTCATGATGTCGAAATTATACCCCAGCATACCGGTTGCAACAAAACCCTAATGGTAGCTGTTGATCTGACATATTATTAACATATTATGACAATATGTTAATCTTAAGGCTATGTGATCCAAACAAAAGTTGTAAGCATGCACAATTTACACTTTCTCTCTACCACTAAGGCTCAAGGACTTTGATGACATAATTCGGAATCATCCCTCCCCTTACCTTATAAGCAGAAAGTAAAGCTTCCTCTGAAATCTGTTACTTTTCAAACATCTACTATGTTCTATAATGTGAATGGCACATAGTGCAACTATATAGGGGATAGGGAGCAATCCATATGCGTTCCATTAGGGGCAATGAAGTCTGCTTTCGTGCCAGTGTCACGCAAACCTCCACAGGGTGCACACAGTGTGGTCTGGTCCAGAGACATGACAGCACAGAGCAGATCATATTCTACCCTGAATGCTGTACCTCAAACATTGCAAATGGTTAGACATCTTCTACATTATAAACGGCACTGACGAGCAGAAGACATACAACCCGTGCTATGTGATGAGCCACTTGATATGCTCTCCTGTTTCAGTGGAAATTATGTCAACACACTGAATAACTCTGCACATTTCAAGGTACTTCAGTGGGACTTTAAGTAACCTTTTCAGATGTCTGAAGGATGTCAAATACTGGAAGGAAAAGAACTTCCTTCAGTTGAACAAGAAAAAACTAATTTATTAGGCTCCTCTACTGCCCATTTTGGTAATTATTTAGGCCACTTCAACATGCACAAAAAAATTTCAAAAATCTTGTTTTTAAAAGTTGTTTAATACGTTTCAAAGTCAACTGTAATAGGCTTTGTCCACAAAGTTTTGGCCTTCCGTCCACACTGAGACGGTGTTTTTATCAAGGAAAATGCTCTCCAAAGTGGAAAAATTTGAATACGCTATTTTCGCGTTGTAGTGTGGACTGTGAAAACAGAGGCTTTTGAAAACGATTAAGCATGTTTATTCATGTGACATGTATTGTACCAATAGACATGTTTATACCATTATCATGCCTGTTATGTGCTATTCACTTTCACACTATTGCTATAGATTTACTATAGATGTTACTTGGTACACTTTTCATATTTCACAGTCCTGGTTCCCGAAAATGTACTCGCAATTGCTGTTTGCGGCAAAACATGAGGGCAGTTGCATTTTAGATCAGACATACAGTTGTGAGTGAGTGCGACCTGGACGCGTCAGTGAATGGGGAGATATTTGCGTCAATAAAATGATCCTACCAGAAGAATTGCATGAAAACGTAAAGTATTATGTCTGTTCCGTCTGTATCATCTCAGTGAGGTGAGATGATACACCTTCTTTAAGGCTTTATGCATGCACAGTAAAGCAAATTTAATGTTTTCTATTGTTTCAGTGTGGATAAGAAACTTTTGGAAAACACTTGAAAATGCTAGTGTGGATGGAGAGCATTTTAAAACGAAAACACCGTTTTCAAATGTATCCGGATTAATGTAGACGTAGCCATAGTTTAGTTGTGTTAATGTTACTGGCTGCATTTTATTTTATCCTTTCTTATCATCACTTTGTGTAGTACAGCATTAATAAAAAAATACACTTAAATAAATTGACTTGACTTGAATTTGCAGTAAATTTTTATTTCTGTACATACTTCTTGTGCTAAACTCACCTGAGTGTTGCGGTCTGTGAGCAAGACCTGCAAGTGGTTGAAGCCGTACGTGGGTCCGGGTGAGATTAAGAGAATAGTGCAGGTGCTCAGGTGAAACTCAGGCAAGGTGTCAGCACTTCGCACGAAATCCTCTGTCTTCAGCTCCTCCACCCTCTTCAGATGGCCGCCGGCCAGCTCGATCAGGGAACCTTTGGCAAAATGAGGTAGGACTGCAGAAGGGGGTGGGTCAGGGCCAGTGAGCACAGCGACGGGAGGGTGGTAGGACCCTGCTGAGGGATCCCATTCTGTCTCAAGCCCATGGCTGTTGTGTTGGCTTTGCAGGA